AATCAGGATGTCCCTTGAAGACTTCCTTTCTAGCTTCGATTATTTGGATATATGTCATCTGACGGAGCCTTTACCAAGTTCTGGAAACACACTAAGCGATGCTCTCAACGGCCTCCATCACCGGGGTTTGACGGCCTCGGGTCTTTGTGTAGAAGAGACTGGAGGTCCAAGTGGCAGTGCTATTGGTCTGTCAGCAACTGGGGTGGGTAGAACTCTGCGCTCTCTGCCTCTGGGTCCAGGCAGTGCCAGCGCCCAGACCCTTGTGACCTGTACCCCAGCTCCGGGGGTACAAGCTAGCCCCTGTCTGAGTGTGCGGGGTCGGTGGTTGCGAGGAGTGTCTAGCGGTGGTAGGCCCTTTGCGAGAGCCAGTCATTGGGCAAATCCACAATTTACTCTGCGACTATTGCCAGGGGGGCCAGATCATGGTGATTCTGAAGGTCTGGCTGCTTGCGTAATCAGTTTGATGCAGACTGACCTGCGACGTCTGCGACATCGAGCTCCTCGCCTGCTGAGCATTGGATTCGTGCTTTATAGGGCAAGCGATTTCTGTCCAATGGATTGTTTAAACAAAAAAAACATATTTCAAAAAATCATTTCTATTCAACAGTTTATTTCAATTTAATCTATCTGAAATAATTTCCGACACCTTCACACCTCTTGTGTTCTAGACTCTATCTTATTTATTGCCTTCTGAGCTATATGAAAACTTGCTAGATTTTCTTGACCTGCATTTGATAATATTTTCTCTGATGGCTATACTACCCACAACAAAATAAGTAATTACTTGGCTTTACATTGAAATTTGCTATCATATACGTTCCTAAAATTAATTGTCACGACCAACATGGGTTACATCAGCTACCCGAGAGGAACTCGAACAATGAATTTGAGATCTGATCTGATAGTCGCTTTAAATCATTAGCGATAGACTCTTATTTTTCGTTCATAATTATTGTTTCGAGACTACCATACATGCTATATAAGAAGTATTCAGCCTATTTCATTTAAGCTTATGAAAGACTAGTAGTTGATTTTTCCCACAATCATATGCGTGGAGCTGACGTTCCCTTTGCAATTTATATTATCGCCGATGTGGACTGCATTTTCGAGCTCGCATAGGCCTCATCAACACCCCAACCAGGAGTCGAACCATGACATTGAAGCGTGCAAGCTCGACACGTCGACCACTACGCCACATTGCCACGAGGACGATTGAGTCGCAGGGCTGATGTGAATTTTAAGGAAGGCCAGGCATTTTCACATATCATATTATTTGGTGGGACTTTCGATGAAGCAACGTTATATTTGCTATGAAAATCGTCAACATTACTTATTTTTCAATCATAAATAGGGTTTCGAGACTACCACTAAATCAGTTATATGCGGCGTATTCACCCTGGTTCGATTAAGATGACGAAGGACTGGTGATGAGCTTTGAACCCACAAGACCAAAGTCCATATCCCAACATTAGTGTTGACTATACCCAGGCAGCCCAGACTATCTGATGGGCCTAAGGTTAAGACAAGCCAGAGCACATTTACAGTGTTATTATTGGGGAAGAAAAGGTGTGTTTTAACACTGCCCACGACTATGTTACTGTTATGGCGAGTCTGTTTTCAAGCTTAGCCAATCAACAGAATATTCCCCCCTCAGACTCGTCACTCAAGCTTCATTGGTATTGCTTAAAAACAGAAGCTGTCTAACTATGTTTAACCGGAACTATTTTCTAAACAGATTGAAACATAAACGAATTTTTAACAATGCGAATTTACTCGGGAATTGTATGCAGTGATGCTCAACTATCGATTGTCTTAAGATATCCATATAATTGCTCCTTGGGGATATTCATTGAGGCAACACGACCAGCATATTAAAATATATCCTTCCCAGGAGGAAGGGATCCGTCATTTGAGTCTTGCGGAATTCTAATAATCATTCCAGAATCATCATTTATGCTATTTCTTCAACTATCAAGTAGGCTTGAATTCTAAACTTCATTTCCTCTTGTCCAAACTTTCTCAAACAGCTTCAACATGGAGCGATTCCGCCGATGTCACGCTCTTTTTTCGAGGCCAATACTCATGTTGCAAGCGTAGACTACTTTTTCGACTCCCGCGAAGTGGTCAAGCGGTTCCGTCTACCCCCTGCTGACTACCTACTCGTACCATGTACATACGCACCAGACCAGCCGGGAGAATTTTTGCTAAGAGTGCTCTTTGAACACACGGAACGTACATTAGAGTAAGCCCCGGCCTAACAAATGCAAGACTATTTAAGTACATAAGCATCTGCCTTAAGTGGCATTCCTGGCAGTATTTTTGGCTGGCTATTTGGTCAATTGTATCATTTTTCTGTAGCCTCGCTAAATCTTTCGTTTGGCTTCACTATGATACTTTCTAGAGCTAACATCTCAACAGGATATGTCTTTTGCTTTTTAATGCAAACATTTCACCAGTTCGGTTATTGCGCTGTTTGGCTGAATACGTTTTTACGAGCGGAAAACGCATGCTAACTTTGTGTTGAGTGTAAGATAGCTGAAAAAATTCGGTATTTTCTTATGGATAACTTCTGCTCTACGCTATATGGGCATCGATTCCATAATTAGAAGTTATCTTCCGCATTTATCAGCTAACTTTAGAGCTTTCCTTACAAAAGATGTAAACATGCTGATTTTGATAAACTAGTGCTCATATTGGCGTATTTACAACAGTAATCATTTGTTGTCAAATGATTCATACCCTCCTAATAGCAAATAGAACAATAAGTAAGTTAAAGTAATTAATATTAGCTCCCTACTGAGAGAAATATTTG